AAAAAAAGAAAAAAGAAAGAAAATGCACAAAAACTTGCTATTGGGAGGTCTGTTTATTCCCAACAGCATTTCAAATTTTTGGGAACTGGAAAATAGAGAATAGTACACCAATATCATCTGGATGCATTGCGGTCCTATTTGATGATAATCACCACCCACACGTCCTTGCGGTTGGTGAATCGGGTGCTTCACGTGTGTCTTTCACTCGCGTTTGTATAAACTTGTTTTTCTCTAGGAAAAGCTCTTCTTTTCTAAGTCTTTAGAAGTGTTGCCTGGTCAAACTGAAAGGCCCTGTATCTTGAGGGCATCAAGACACATATGGCATCAGCAGAAGAAGCGGTGAAAAATGAAAATTCGCCCGCTCAACCGAATAGCGCTTCGGAAACCTCGAAATCTACACAGCCCGTTGCCGCAAATCCAGCAGCTTCTTCAGGGTCTGTAAAGGTAAATCGAAGCTTTTCGTGTTCATATTTAGCAAACCGTATTACCTTAGCTGAGGTATATATTGTATATGAAACACTTTGTGAGGTAGTGACCATGTGTATGGTTTTCTAAAGGCAGTGAAGTTGTAAAACTTTAGTGCATGCATGCATGCAACCTTAAACTATCGTCTTTTTGACTTTTGTAAAATTATAAAAATAAAAAGCAATTAATAAGCTAAACTTTAAAACTTAAGCTTGAGTCATGGTAATCGATTTTGGGGTTGAAAGAACGAGGCTTAAGTTGTAACTGGGTATCTGCCCTGAAGGTTGATCTATATATCTTTTTAACAGGGCTTGCTTCGTTGAATGAATGTGATAACAGTGTTAAATTGTAAGGCAGCTTCAGATGTACCCGGTAAAATAAAGGCTTACTTATTTACTATATATCCTGAGTCAAATTGTAGGTCTGTTCAATGTTTTACTTTATAGCTAACCCTCTCTCTCTCTGTATCCTACATGATCCCAGGATTTCTCTATCCCTAGCAAACCTTGACAACCCCTTTGCAGCAGTTACCTGCTACCCATAATATTCTCTCTTAGTATCACCCAACCAGTGGACTAATACAAATCCTGCATTTTAATTGGCTACGCTACTAGAGGACTATTAGCAATAGTCCTCAAGTAGCGAAATTGGCGCAATCGAGCGTGATGCTTTCTTTCGTTTTATTCCCTAATAAATATTTCTTCAACTTACATTTGCTAACTTTATCATTGCCTTTTCTGTCCAACTAGTTGGGTGATACTTAAACAATTAGACCCTTCACCCTCGAGGGCCACAGGTCAATAGCCCATTCGGCTTTGCCTTATAGGCTATTGACCCGTAGCCCGTGAGGGCTTTCTATGCTGGTCTGATTGCTAATTAGTTCCTAACTCTCCTCTGGGAGAATAGAGTCATGCTGCCCATAATTATTGCTCATATAATTCTACTATAATTTGTGGTCTGGCTGTAAAATGCATTGTCTAGTTATGTAACTCTTTATCATGGACGATAGTATACCATGGAATATCCCACTTGCATCTTGTAGTTTCCTTGTATACACACTCATCTAAAGGCTTTTGTATATTCTGCTATACATGTGGCAAGTGGGATATTGCATGGCATACCACAAAAAAGCATTGCGTAACAGTACTATTTTATACCATGCTATAGAAAAGATGTCTTTGGCAAACACAATTTTAGTATGACATTATGTGCTGCACGCAATGGGAAAGTTGGGTGTAATACCATTAAGTATACAAGGGCTTTCCTGTATTCTGATTGGTTGTATTTTCTATGACATGGTATAAATATATTGTTTCAGATATTTTGGTGTGTAGTATCAGTGTATATTTTTATGAGTTTTGCTATATTTTGACAAACCGTAGGGTGAATCAAAATACAAACAACGAGCAAAAATATAAAGCGATACTACACACCAAAACATCTAATAGGGGATATATTATCCAGCTGCTGTAGTCAATAGGGAGTTTAAGCAAATCACTACGGCTGGTGCTACTACGGCTGCTGTGACTGAAAAGGTCTGGGGAGAGTACGTCTCAGTGGTCTGCCAAATTTTAAGTTTAGCAAGTAAAGCGAAATACAAAGATGAAAGAAACATCAGCTAAGGAGTTTAAAATCTCTTTTATTTAGTTTCTCACAGCCAAATGGCTTCGCTCAAAGGAC